CTGAAGAAGTCTCTTGGAGGAGAGACGAAACGTTTCATTAGAGAAGAACCCGTCCAGAAGACCTATGCAATTTTTTCCTTTCTGGTTTTGTGCAATACTTTGGGGGGAAACTCTTTTGCTTCTTCTTTTAATACTTTAAATATTCAGCACATTTCATTCATATATGAACAATTCAAATGCATTACATTTAACATTCATCTAAAGAGAAAAAAACCCAAGAAACCATCAAAACAAACCAGTAAAAAGCCGGGGCACCGGATCTTTGGGGTGAACCAGCCTTTGCCGTAATGTGTTTTGGGGTTTGAAAGCCACTGGGACATCATGTTTAGAAAATAAACGTCTCAGTTTCTCCGAAACTCTCAGACTGAAGAAGTCTCTTGGAGGAGAGACGAAACGTTTCATTAGAGAAGAACCCGTCCAGAAGACCTATACAATTTTTTCCTTTTTGGATTTTTTACCTGGRTTACTGAGATGCAYCAGGATACAAGTCGTACCTTAAAAATTCTTGAACCGTGAGCGATAAAAGCCCAGTCTCTTGTGGGAGATCTTTGTAAATCTGCAGGAAGATAAAGTTTAACTTCAGTTAAAATACGATTATGGGACATTGGGTGTGGGACTTTTTGTATTTTGCGAGGGATTTGAGAGAAAACTGTAAGAGACACCCTGGGTGAAAGAAAACAAATGTCTACATTGTGATGCATGATTTCAAACTTTAGAGCAGGGCCATTCAACTAAACTGCACCAGAGGCCACAAAGTTAATGCAGACCAACGGCACAGCAATTAAAGTCATTATGTAAATAAATCAAGTATTACAAAGATCTGTTACCTGTTTATTTTGCTGCATTTAATCATGGATACAACATACAGAACCCTATGTAATAAATGTAGTGATATTAAAACAATATAACACATTCTGCCTTGTGTTTAACACAAATATAATTTTGACATTTGAACTTGACAATTTTTAAAACCAATTTTATTTTCACTTTCATAATTTTACCTTCAACTGCTTGAAGTTTTAACTGTCTTAGATATTCATAGAAATGGTTTTTACCAGCTTCTTGCCAAAAGGACGTTTCTGTAAACATATCTATGTTTAACTAAAATAACTTTAATGGTAATTAAAGTAGAAAACTGGGGGGTTTGGACTTAAGAGATGAATGAACCAATTGACGGGCCGTACTTTGGTCGCTTGCGGGCCGGATATGGCCCACGGGCCGTCAGTTGAATAGCCCTGCTTTAGAGCTTTAAAAAGCTCTAAAAGCTCTGTCACACTATGTCATTTTTAGACAATTTATACCAACTTGTGAAATGTTTGGAGGACATCTACGTTGAAGATGGAATTTAAAAAATCAACTGGAATCCTCTTTTAGGCGTGCACAAACTGTAATGCTAATAAACTGATCAAATATAACCTTTTATTAGTAATTTAGTGGAAATTTTGCTTTCATATGTTGACATAAGTAGTCTTAGTGTAAAGTCGGATTTCTTCTGTTTTCACCAAAATTCCATTGATYTCTATTTAGTGCCATGAAGTCATGTCCCACATTTTGGCACGTTTTGCATGTTTTCAAAGCACAACATGATTTYTTAAGCAGAATGAGTTGTTTAATGCTCATGCATTGGCATCTTTTAGATTTAGTAGGGGTTTTGCGGTTGATCCTTTCATGTTTATTGGTTTAAACTGACTAAACGTTTGTCTTTTTACAGAAAAGCCTGCAGTTTGTCTCCATCCTGGGGGCAGGACTCCTTTGCGGGACGGCACTCGCCATCACCATCCCTGAGGGCGTGGGTTTGTTGGAGGATTCGTGGAGAGGTGAGCTAAACTCTGATGAGAAACAAACCACAGAATTRGCATTTTATTGCAACCTTTTGAAACCGTTGTTCTGGGTGTTAAACCACCTGCTTTCATTTTGGATTTGATCAAAAGCTCTTCCTGTCCTTCATCTCCCGCCCAGCCCCCTCCTCTGATGTACCGTTGGGTCTGAACACCAGTGAGAAAAGCTCCTCTTCCCCGGAGGAGCCCCCTCCTCCTCGGTTCTACATCGGGCTGGCTTTAACCTTTGGGTTCACCTTCATGTTCGCCGTTGACCAGATTGGAGGTTACATTTCCACGCGTGGCAAGTTGGCACGACGCTCACACCGGTTTTATTACGAGTCTATCCTTTCATCTGAACTTGTTCAGTGTGTGATTTCAGACCAAACTGTGGAATCGTCGAGCAGCGTCCACATCACAGCCACTCTGGGGCTGGTTATTCACGCTGCAGGTAGATCCTCAGACATATGAACGTAGAAGTCTGTTGGCGTTTGTTTGCACGCGGCACACAAAAAAAGCTCCAAGAAGAAAAAAAAAGCATAAAAGATTCCCAACAAAACCCACTTGTTTAAGCCCTCATGTGATTTAGCATGAGTTTCTTTTTTCTCCGTTTGAGCTGCTCACAAGTTTTTAGCCTTAAGGTTCCACATCAAAATGTTAAGGAAAAAAACATTGGCTTTGGTAAAATCTGACATAAAATGAAGCATTTAGTTTTAATAAAATGCCAACCTGTRGTTACCTGACCTTTCCTTTTTACCCCTCAGCTGATGGATTTGCTCTGGGTGCTGCTGTGGCCACAGGTCAAGTAACGGTTCAAGTCATCGTATTTTTTGCTGTCATTCTGCACAAGGTGAGACGATTACCTGGTTAAAACATAGCTGCATGGATCTGTAAGCTCATAATGACATGTATGGCAAACTGTTTATGTATTAATTCAAAAACACTTAATCATAAGCATAATTCTCATCTACTAGTTTGCAAATACACTGAACTAGTTTCATATTTGGTGCATTAGTACAGCAAACAGTGTTTTGCAAACTGTAAATATTCAAATTATTCAATTAGTGACTGCCACATGTGCACACTAGTTAAATTAAACTGTAAGAGGCTAACTAGTTGATTAGTTTTTGTCCTTAATTAACAAAAGTAGCAACCAATTTTAACTAGTGAACATTTGACAGTAAACTTGGAGGTCTAGTTTGAGTTACAGATAAGGGTTTATTATGATAACTAGTCAACCTGTATGACTCAGTTGTTGACTAGTTTGGTCCAGTAGAGTGTTAAAAAGCTAACTAGTTGGACTTCCGTTGATTAGTAGAACTTCTTCAGCTAGTTGGGTAAAGTGGTGCTTTTTTTTCTTCCCCTTCAGTAGGAGGCGACCTATGACTCATAAAATGCATAAGAAGTGTTGAAATCACCAYATACTGAAGCTTCACAAATCAAATATATGTTTCACAAATCACATACAATTAAAATATTCTACAATCGGTGTAGAATAATCTAGTCCAGGTTTGAAGTCTCTGCGTGTTTTAGTTTTTAAACTAGAGCAAATGAAATATGTTAGTGAAAACAGGTGGAATCGCCCTTTAGCCATTCCTGAAAACTTMATAGTTTTTTTCTCATAAATTTACGAGTTTTTTTTCTTGTAAGTTTCTGACTTTACCATGTCAGAAAATATTTAGTTTAAATGTCGCAAATTTTGGCCTTTGATTATGGAAATTTCTGAGTTTTTTTTCTTGCAAATTTGCGACTTGTCAACATGAGAGAATTTCCTGTTTGTTTTCTTGAAAATTTCTGAAATTAATCTCAGAAATTTGGATTTTTTTCTCTGAGATTTACTCCTCCTTTTTTTTCATCTACAAAGTGGCTCTAATATACCATCGTGTATGACCTACTATGGTCAAAGGTTTTCAATTAGTTGGTTTTATGGTACATGGTATTCCCAGGTGGGCTCCCATCCAAACAGTGGTGGATCTAAGATTTTTCTGAGGAAGGGGCCATCAAGGGGCCAAAATATTCATAGAGGAGCCAAGTGTTTATTCAGCATCCTTGCACACAAATYGCTGGTTTTGGTATGGTGTATTTACCAGTCACGCACTTAAACACTTGTAATGTAATTTTAAAACAGCTTGCACTGTAAATTCTCCTTACCAGTTTTACATGCATTTTACAGTACATAGATAAAATACTCTCAAACACACATTTGAGATAATCCAGCCAACATTTGTGAGTTAAAATACTTTTTCTCAAGGATTTTTCAAATTTTAAGAAAAGAAAAATACTTCTGTCAGCTTGATTCATGCTGGACTTTTCTATTTGGCTCATTAGTGCCTCTAGTGTTTAGACAAGGAACTGCACCCCAGCATCATCAYCCTTGGGCAAAGGACAGATGAGTGACAGGACAGGGGCACTTCAGGGGGCCAATCARATKTCAGCAGGGGCCAATGCCCCTGTGGCCCCGCCCCTAGAACCGCCCCTGCATCCAAGTACTGACCCGACCCTTTTTTGCTTCCGAGATCAGACAAGTTCAGGGTGGTACGGSCACAAAGCACCACAGTAGTGCAACCAGCTGTGCAGCTAGTGGGTTGTAGTCACAGACAAGTTAAAGATTTGGAGCGTATGGAATAAATGCTCAAACTGTTTGCCGTAGAACCTGCCCATCGTTCTTGTCTTCCAGGCGCCTGCAGCTTTCGGTTTGGTCTCCTTTCTGATGCACGCCGGCCTCGAGAAGAAACACATCCAGGGACATTTACTGGCCTTCTCAGCTGCAGCTCCAGTAGTAGCCATCAGCACTTACTTCATTTTGCACTCAGTAAGCGCACACACACCACTTTCTGGTGTCTTCATGGCTGGTTCTGCTTTATTTCATCTTTTATTCACCTGGATTTGTCCGCAGTCTGGAAACTCTCCTCAGAACCAGCTCAGTGCGACAGGAGTGGGCATGCTCTTCTCGGCCGGGACGTTCCTGTACGTGGCCACGGTTCACGTTCTCCCTGAAATCAGCGGCGGCGGCGGCAGGACAGAGGAGCCGCTGTCTGACGTCCAGCAGCTCCCCGAAGCCGACGCCCACAAGCGGCAGCACCTGGGGTTCCTGGAGAGCCTCACGCTCATCCTCGGTTTGGGGCTTCCGGTCGTGTTGGCCCTCGGGCTGCACGATGACTGACGGGAAGCGTAAGRGCACAGAAGAAAAACCAAGAGGACCTAAGGAGCTGAGAGCAAATTTACAAGGAACATTAAAAAGAGGGACTTTTGTTGATGAAGCCCTTTAAAGGTAGAAATGACTCAGCCTGTAACTGAAAATGTGGATGGAGGACAACAGAGCTGCTTCATGGAAGAAGAACCTCAGCTTAGCCTGTTATGGTGCGTTCACACTTAACGCGATTTCAGCTTCAAAATCGCAGCCAACGCTGAAGTTGGTCGCTTGTGCACTTTGAGGTCAGACGCAGGTCAGCTCTTGAAGCGCTGCACGGCAGAGCCTCCCCGCCCCTCCCTCCTCTGTCGGGCTCTGTTTAATGTCGGACGAGGAAGTGGCTTTGCTTTATTTACAGAGAGCAAGAGCGTGTCACGTTCATCAGATAATTAATTCATAATTAATTCACCAGATAATTCAGAGTAGAGGCTCACAGCTGCTTTCAGGACTATTTTTCCAGTCTGATGAGTCGCTGCCACACATTGCTGCTGATCAGGACACGACTGCAGCACTCATTTCAGCCAAAGAGCAGGAGCTCCATCTGTTTCAGGTTAGTGGACATCRTTCAGTAAACTGTCCCGTCGGGAAATATGTCRCTACGTCACACAGTGGAGTCTCTCTGATTGGTTGACGCKGCGCGTCGAGCTGCAAAAGTTCAGATTTTCTAACTTCAGCGATTTGTGCCTCAGCGCGTCGAACGCTCAGATCGTTCAAATCGTTCAAATCGCGCTGCTCTAATCGCGCTTGAGGCGCCGCAGCACTTCCCAATGTTGCTTGAAGCGCGTCCACCATAGACTTTGCATGTAAACCTGCTGCTCCTGATGCTGAAATCGCGTTCGGTGTGAATGCACCATTAGACTTCACGCTCTCGCCGATGCTAAATTGCCTTATATGTATTAGCTCAGCGCTAGTGCAACAAGCTAACAAGCTAAACTGAGGTCCTCCATCCATATTTTCAGTTACAGGCCGAGTCATTTCTACCTTCTCCTCTCTGTCAACGCTCTGGTTTCATTTACCTATCCATGACATCAATTACCCAGAATGCTTTGCATGTAAATAAAATGGCTCCATCCGTGTAATATATTTTTTAACTTTTAGTTTAAAAATTATAAAAAATAAACAGCCTACAGTATTTTTACAGTCTTTATTTTACAGCTAAACTATATGATTGTCAAATAAAGTCTAATGTTACAACTAATCATGGATCCCTTTAAAATTAGTTTAAAAACAAGGTTTAACGTGACAAAACTTGTCAGTTTTACAGTCTAACACCTGCAAGAACAGGTAGGGTGTCTTTTTTTAAAGCCAATACACCATATAGTATGAGTCAGATAAAAACAGCTGAGTCTTGCTTGTAACTCAAGAACACTGATTTAAATTTTAATGAGTGCGTCTGTTTTTGTTTTCTTCTTTGGGTGTAAACCAGAGATAAATAGAAAAATTTGCACATTCTAGTAAAAAGAAAACAAACAAATTTGCTACAAATTTATCTTTAACCGTCTTAAAGCAGCACATATTATCGCCTCGATAAGAAGCGCTGAATGTTTCAACCAAAAGAACTGCCGTGTCAAAGACAAACACATTAAGAGTAACTTTTTGCAGTATTTTCATGTTTATATGCTACTTCCTTGTACACTAAACTGCAGACCCACAACATGTTCAGCCAAACATTAACCTGTCGTCTCTTTTATTTGCACTCTGCAGGTTGCTTAATGACTCCGATTCCAGGGTTCATTTACCTGCTGGCTGCACAGAACTCAGTTTAACCCTAAACTTTATGGTCTGCAACTTCCTGACGGCTGAAACCTCCACGCAGCTGTCTGACACCTCGAGGGTCTAATGTGACATTTCACTTGTTCACTGGGGTTGTAATACTAGACTGTAATAAAGGGAGACAAGAAACAAATTGACTGGTGTAGTGGGGTTTATTTTAACTGGATGAGGACATACGTTGTACTAAAACATATATATTACATCTATCAAACTGAAGGCCAGCGGGCCAAATGTGGCCCATGCTTGACTTCTGTCAGGTCTGCCAAAAAATTTTTTTTGCTTAATTTAATATAAAAATATATTTTAAATCAATTGTAAACTTCAAATTTAAAATTCATTGTAACAAATTAACTAGTTTAAAAGGTGAAAGATAACACCCCTGGGCTGTTAGCTTGGAGTAACTGTGGCCCTTTGAGCAATTTAGTTGAACGGTCCTGTAATAATGTCTCAAAATAAGCTGCTTAAAGCCAGCCCTGACCATAAACTACATCTCCCATAATGCATGTCGATTATTTTATCCGCAAAATGACAATATCCCACCACTAGATGAAGCTGCACGATTCAAAAAATAGCAGCAAAATTTGCCATGTAAAAGCTACATTTCACTGCATCTTTRTTTATGGCCTAGGAAGTGGGAATTTCCCACTTACAAGTCGGAAATGTAAACTGGAATGTCCYTCTAGTGGGAATTCCCAGCTGTAAAGTGGGAAAATTCAGAATTCAAGATGGCATCTATTCAACACAACTCAACAGTGAGTATAACTTTTACTTTCAAAGGTATTTCTGTGCTATTTCACATTTTCTCAGTTATAAACATAGTACTTATTGGTGTTTATAAGAGGACCTGTTAAAATGCTGTTTCTATGCAGGAAATACCAGGTAGAGCTCATTTATTGTTTGTAAGCAGTGCTCAGGAACGTGATGTTTCATGTTTAGTCTAAGTTTTTTACAACCAAACCGGTCATGTGACCCAGCCCTGTTCTGCATTAATAAGTTTATAATCCTCTCATAGTTTCATGCGTCTTACGGAGGTCGTCAGCCGAGCCTCCAGAGCCATCTGATCAAAGGTTCGACTGCGTGTCTGCTGCCTCACTCCGTCCATCATGTAAAAGGAGGCTCGAGTCAGCCTCTGCGCCTCCTCCTGAAGCTGTTCTCTCTGTCTCAGCAGCCTCTCCCGCCTCCGCTCCTTCGCAGAAACGTAGTTCTCTCTGGCCTTCGTCGTCGCCTCCTCCTCCCTCTGCATCTCCTCCTGGAGTCTCCGGTGGCAGACCTGCCGGTGCTGGTTGTGTTCTCGTGTCTGCTGAGCTCTGCTCCTCAGCAGCGAGGAGGCGTTCAGGGAGGCTCGCTGCGTGCGGAGCTGGCTCGTCTGAACCAGGAGGTGTTTGTGTGCGAGCTGCTGGGCGCTCTGCAGTTCGGCCCTCAGCCTCGCTCTCCGGAGCTGCTCCTGCTCCCGAGCGGAGCGCTCCTGCAGCTCCTGGAGCTGGGCCTCCACGGCCTGAGCTCGCTTCTCGGCGGAGCGCCGCAGCTTCTCCTCCAGCGTGCTCCTCGTCTGCGCCTCCTCTTCCTCCGTCCGCTGCTCCAGATGTTTTCTCAGCAGGATGTGCCGCAGCAGCTCCCTGCGGTTCTCCTCCTGCAGTCGCCTCTGCTCCCTCTTCTCCCGCAGCAGTTTGCTCCTACAGGCCTTCTCCTCCATTTCCGCTGCTGCCCGTCGCCTCCTCTCCTGCTCCCTCTTCTCCATCTCCTCCTTCTCTCTCAGCAGCTTCTCCTGGTAGCGTTTGCGCTCCTCTGCCTCCTTCCGCGCACCCTCCAGCTTTTCCCTGCGCTGCGCCTCCACCTCCTCCTTCAGCCTCCTCCAGCGGTCCTCCTGGAGGAGCGCCTCCTGCTCCAGCTGCCCTGCTTTCTCCTCCTCCTGAAGCAACCTCATCCTGCTGCGGGCCTCCAGCTCCACGTGCCAAAGTCTCATGCTCTGCCTCAGCTTCCTCCTCCTCTCTTTTTCCGCCTGGGCCTGCTGGGCCTCCTCTTGCCTGCGAACCTCCTGTTGCTTTTGCTCCTCCTGCTGCGAGAGCCTCAGTCGCTCCTGCTCTTCTTCGTGCTTCACCAGCACCAGAGCTGCTATTTTGCGGTCCCTCTCTGACACCGTGACACACGTCTTCCTTCTGATCTCCTCAGTGAGCCTTTGCAGCGTCGCCTCCGCGGCCGGGGAGCACCTGAGGTCTCCCAGGGTCAAGCTGCAGGTCGTGCTTCTCTCCGGGTCTCGCTTTTCAGCAGAGCACCTGGACCTGCAGGCCGGCTTCCCTCTAAAGCACAGATCAGCATACGGGTTGGGTTCTGGAGTCCGCGAGTCTGATGTGGGCTCCTTCACTTTAGTTTCTGTCGAAGCCTCCATGTTTGCAGCTACGTTACCTCTTGGCCACCTGCTCCCAGACGCCTGAATAATCCCCCCCTGCTCCCTGCCGGGGCACTTTTGCAGAGCCTTCGATCTTTCTTTTTCATAGGATTCGTGCATAACCCTCATGGCCTCACAGGTCACGTTCCTCCGCTCCGCAATCAGATCGTTCAGCGACTTTATCAGGAGCTGAACGGGTTTTATTCCGAGTGGCGGGGGGCAGGACTCCTGCAGGACTCGACTCGTTGAGCGGATCCTGTCTGTTCCGGCCGACTCCGAGTTCTTGTGGTCCAGGCAGAAAACGGGAGGACTGGACCCCAGCTCCCCCATCTTAAAAGTTCTGGATGATAAATTCACTTGCTCAGGAGGAGAGCAGATCTACAGAGTCTGTCCAGCTCAGAGAGGAGATCAGGAAGGGATTATCTKTGTCTTTTCTAACAGTCATGGCTACGACTTATCCGTAACACGGTTAAACAYGTTTTATATTAATATAGCCGGAAGTAAATAAATAGCCAAATGAATGAGACAATATTATAATCATGTAGCTGTAGAATAACTATCACTTTGAAACCTGCCTTTAGTAAAAACTCTTTAGAGTCATAACAAAACAATAAAAATATTTTGTTAAATTTACACTTTTATTTGTTTGTGAACAAAATGTCAAAACACCAATAAATTAATTATAAATGCGTCTTAAATAAATAAAGACACATGTCCGCAACATTTATCGTTACCATGACAACAGAGTAGCGGACAAGGACCGGAAGCCGGAAGTTGAATCCATAAAGGACCCACCGCCGCACGGGACTTCAGCGCCCTCTACTGGCTGCCTCTGTTTTTACATCACTGATTATTTATTTATTTATTTATTTATTTATTTATTTATTTATTTATTTATTTATTTATTTATTTATTTATTTTTACATGTAGAATTTTTTTAGTTTTGATTACGTGCTTTAAACGATATTGTTTATTTACACCGCAAATTTAATAACGTTTTAATATTTACATAACAACTTTTCAAGAAGTAAGCTATCCGAGGTTTAATAATAAATTAAGTTTTATTGATCGGCTGCATATTGTACATTTCTTTTTTATTATCATTTTATTTACCGTTATTTAACCAGGTCCCATTGAGATTCCAGATCTCTTTTTCAGCCTGGGCCTGAAGGCACCCTATTGTACATGTACATTGAGGTAATTATGATAAATATCGCTATTGACATTAGTAACTTATTAATAATTCACAATTGATGTTAAGTTTACTTGCTTTTGAATGTGAATTTATTTCATAAAGGGGACAATGCATATTAATTTACATGATACATCTCGTAAATATGCCAGAAACTTGAGTTAATTTTCATCAGTTGCAYCCAGGTTGATAGAAGAGATTAAAAAGAATTATAATTAACTAAAATTTAATGTGTTTTAATTACCACTTTTACTAATTTAGTCATTGYCAGCAGTAAGTAAATTAATAAATTCTAGATCTGGACGAATGAGGGATTGTAGAAAAAAAAAGAGTTGTCATTTTGATCAAACCAAAGATGAAGACGAGTGAACTGAAGCAAGAAAATAACCTGCTCATCATTTCCTCAATTGTTCTAATCGGAATATTTTTTTTGGAAAATACACAAAAATCTTATGTTTTTTAGCTGAACGTTAAATCATAATAATAACCTTTTGTGTTAATAAAAGAAAATTTGCCCGGAGTTATTTAAAACAGTGWTAATTAGCTCTTGAATATTGGTATTTGCTTTTATTTTGAAGGATATTTGAAGGATTATTTTGACACCACTCGTATTCGACTTCCTGTTTCCGCTGTCTGCACGTTTACAAGTGAAGTTCTGCGGCTTGAATGTTTTTTTTCCCCCTGTTACTTTTAACTGCTTTTTCCTTTATTCTTTGCACATTTAGTCAGTTTACAGCAGCACGTAAGTTTTGCTCCGACTTAAAACGCTGCAGTCTGTTATTACGTCGGCGTCACAGCAGCTGTTTAGCTTTAGTTTTAGCGCGCGAGAGTTCTGTTATTCGAGCTAGTTTAACGTCGACTGGCCCTAGTTTATGGGATCATTAAGGTACTGATTGTGTTTTATTTTTTTGCCTGTAACAATATTAACTTGACTTTTAACGGTTTGCTCGTATCTGTGCTGCGAACATCTTAGTTCTGGCAGTTTTAGTCTAAACTTTTTGTTTCCATCACGCTTTGTTTTTATTACTTTTTCGCGTTTGCGGTGGTTGACCCTCTGACCGTCAGAAGATGAGGAAGTCTAGATCTGGTGGAAACGAGGAGACTCCCCGGCAGAATGGGTCTTCTGGTCGGAGGAGAGCAGAAGTTGATGGGGAGGACGCTGACTCCAGTCTGGCTGGGCTGCTGGACGAGGACGACGAAAACGACCAGGGCCTCAGGAGAGAGATACGGAGCAAATACAGAGACCTCATCAGCTCTGTGCAACGTGAGGAATGCTTTAACTGATGTTTATACTCCAACAAAGCATGCACCTCCTCCTTGTGTTTATTTATTTGTTGTTTTACAGAGAACAGGGAAGATCTGCTGAGTCCATCAAACAACAAACTCACAGAAGTCCTAGAAGAGGCAAACAAGCTTTTTAAAGATGGTAGGTTTGATGCGGCTGCAGGCTGGGAAAAGGTGGTCAGGAAAGATGTAGCTGTGCAACACAAGTTTGTTTTATCTCTGTTTGACAGTTCGGCAGGCGAGAGAAGCAGCGCTCGATGCTCAGCTTCTYGTTGTGGCCACGGATTTGGGAAAAGAGAAAGCCAGCCAGCTGTTTTCTGATGGGAATGCCTTTGATCCTACTGCTTTTGCCGAGCATCTGGTAGGTTTACCGCTCTGTTGTTTCAAGCCACGATTCCTGCGTTTACCTGGGTTTACTGATACCAAACGYGAGTTCTAAAACAGAGGTGGAAGATGTGCTTATAGTTATTTCTTTACACCTTTGAATGTGTAAACACTGAATATACTGACGTCTGAAACAATCTTTTAACGAGTTAAAAACACAGCTGTGCTACACTTGACATACAATAACAAGCATGTCTTTACTTGTTGAACAGTTGTCCTTCATGGGTCTGAACCGACTGGAGGACGATCGGCAGAACGAAGCTACCAGTGATGGCTACCTGCCTAAAGATGCCTGGCACAGACTGGCCAAGAGTACAGAGTGTTGTTTCAGAACAGCCCCAACTTTCCACTACATGTGAGTACCAACAAATGTTATGTACTGGATGTTGCTTTAATACCAGGGCTGTGTATTGGCTAGAATTTGGCRACACGATACATATCATGACAGAGGGGTCACGWTACGATATGTCCCGATATATTTAGATACTGTAAACAAGGCGATATATTGCGATTTTTTTTTTTGGTCCAAAAATTTTATTAAATAAAAATCTCATACTGGAAAAAAATTAAATAAACGAAAAACCAAAATTCATTGTCTCAGAAAATTCTAATATTACGTAGACATACTTTTGATACATTTAGCTGTGTTCTGCTTTGTATGTGTTTTATTTTATTTGTTTCATATTTCTTATTTCATCCATGTTTTCAATTTTTAGACTAAATTTGCCAATAAATAGTTTGAAAATATATATTTTGCAGCTTTTAGATTTTTATATTAATTTACAATATGGTCAGCCAACACTTAACAATAGCCTTTATGTTGTCATAAAGTTCAGTAAACACAGTTAAACCATTTTTGAAGCGAACACAGCAGTATAAACTTAAAGTTTACGGACTTTGATGTGATCAGCCGGACATGAGAGCAACAGACAGAGTTTTATGTCACGGGGGGAGCGCCTAGCTCGAGACGCTAGACGCATGCCTTGACTACAGTTGGAAAAAGAGCGCACAAGACACTTAATTTGTCTTAAAATACAGACATTCTGACAAATAAGTAATGGTTTATAACCTTACCTCAGCTTAGAAGGCAGAGGGTGTCGGTCTTTTCTGCTCAGATTCAGCTATCGGAGCATGAAGCTAATTTTTACTCACAATGCTAATGCTACCCTTACTCTCTGGCGCTCAAGAGGTAGAGGAGCCAAACGGCTGGCTCACTGCTGCCAACTAGTGGTCAGAGGCTGAACTACAACATAAAAATAAACGGCTGGCAGGCAAGTTGACATTTTAAAACTTAATAAAAAAATCGATACAGGGCTTTAGAATATTGATACAGTATCGGGAAATGAAATATCGCGATATTTCAGTGTATCGATATTTTCTTACACCCCTATTTAATACCAGGGCTTGGTACTCAACAGAGTAAAGATGGTGCACACAAACAAAGTGCATTAAAGTCAAATCAAGAAAACCATTTCCAGTTGGAGGAGTTGCATCAGCAGATCAGTCAGATGGTAGGGGGAGTAAAAAGTTGCAGAGGAAGTCTGAAAACCTTTAATTGTACTGAAAGAACAAGCGTCTTAGCAAATAAATACACCCCAGTTATGATTTAATAAAGAGGTCTACAAACCTTCACAAGATTTGACCACAAATTCATAAAAAAAAGAAGCATTAAAAATGTGTCTGATTTTGTTTTGGTTCTTTCCAACAGGATGGGGTCCTTCCACGCAGAACCACCMCCTCCAAAGCAGCGAGTCGAAAGACAAAGGAGGGTCCCCAACAAGGAGGCCCAAAGAATCATGCCCACACAGGTAGCTAAACTCACATCATCCACACCATATTTACTTTATTTTTTTTGGATTTTAAGTTGTTAAATGTCACACATGCTCACTGCGTTGTGTTGTGTCAGCTGAAGAAAATGGAAGAATCCCATCAGGAAGCTACAGAGAAAGAAGTGGAGCGAATCCTTGGATATCTGAAGAGTTATCACCAAGATGATCGTGAGTTTTAAATCGACCTGACTGACGTTGTTTTTGTTATTCTGTGACCTGATTGCTCTAACAGCTTTATCTGTCCTCACACGTWTCCTGAGAAACCAGTTGTGATCTAAATGTGTTTTAACAGCAGCTAATGTCTGTGCTGTAYAATAATACAGCACATGTTTGGCTTTTGACATTCAAGACGAGGCTCATTGAAAGGTGACAATAAGGACCAAAAAGATAAATTTAAATAGTTTCTGACTTCACTTCTGCTTTGATAAGTTCCTGTAAAATTATAAAAAGAAGGTTTATATAAACAGTACATCCTGTGAGTCTGGATGCTGTTTTTTCATTATTACACATTATTATTATTATTATTATAATAAACCATGTAATTGACAAGTATGAGTATGATGAGTATCTGGATATAAACTTAGCAGAAAAAGTAAGAAAATGTGTTTGGTAGATTATTTCTTTGTTATAACACGCTTCTTGGCAGTAAATCTTATACCATTGGAAAGCCTGTTAATTTCCCTTTTAAATGGTGCCACATTTGTAAGGAACATGCATTTGTGGGATGAGCAGTAGAGCTGAGTACGTGGGCTGTACTCGTGAAAAATTTGCCAAATCTTTTCTGTCTGATTTTGATGTTGCTATTGACACTTGTTTTGAGCTTCTGATACCTCCAGGTGCTGCAAATCAGGTGCCCGCTGTAAGATTTATGGCCAAGAAGCATTGTTACAACAAATAAAGAATCTACCAAACACAAATGTCCTTATTTTTTTGTGCTAAGTGTGTTTATTATATTACAGGATTATGACCACAGGTGTTCCTCACCACCTCTGAATGCATCCTGGGAGCTTTCAGAGCCGTATTCACAGCTGTCTAACTTCTGATTACAGGACACGTTAAACATTATGTAAATTATTATCTCATGTTTTTTTTAATTTGCATCACAGCGTCGACACCCATATCGTACTACGAATTCGTTGTTGACCCCAACTCATTTTCTCGGACAGTGGAGAACATTTTCCACTTTTCTTTTCTGATCAGGGTAAGTCGCATTTTGTTTTGTTTTTAAAGTGAACTCCGCTGCCCTCTAGTGGCCGCGAGCAGGTGTGAAAACGTTGCTTCTGTTTCAGGATGGCTTGGCCCGGATGTATCTGGATGATGATAAGCTGCCTTGTATAGGTGGGAACATTTTGTTCTGTCAGTCAGATTTCAGAGTAACAAAGGCGTCGTGAGGTAACACCGTTTTTATTTCACGTCTCAGCGCCTGTAGAGGAGGGCGAGGTGGAACCTGCAGGTGCTTCCACGCGCAAGCAGTGCATCATCTCCATGAGTCCAAAGATGTGGAAGGTGAGCAAKTTTTGAGTCGATCGCAGAAAAAAAAAAACTGGAAGCAAAGAATGTAATAAAATAAAAAATGGATTTGTTTGTTCTTTCTCAGGAGATTGTAGATAATTTTGAGATCAAAGAGACCATGATTCCACCTCCAGAGACCCAGAATGAGTGACGGACCACCCTGTCTTTTCTACATTTTATATGGCCCTCTGTTTTGGTGAAATACAGTTTTTATTCATTGGACCAAAGTGTCCTTTTTATTTTTATTTTTTGTCTTTCTGATTTTTGTACAAATATTTTTATTCCCTGCAGAAAAAAAATTCATAAATGACTTCCTGTCCCATTCATTTCTCCAAATTTAGTCCTTTTAAAAATTTATTCTTGCACTTTGCAGTTTTTGTACTTGGAGAAAATTTGTAAAAAGGTTTATAGTTTTGTTTATATAGATATTTGCTGTTCTTATTAAAAAAATGGCACTAATAAACCTCAGATGTTTTTGGTTCTGTTTTTCCTGTAGCATTATTTGTAAGCCATCATATCGAAATGAGGATTAGTCAAATTTGGTCAAAATGACCTAATTACGTTTTCAGATTCTTGGCTTTAAAAGCTACATTTTGATACCTGGATCATTATGATATCGTAATTAAATCCATATAGAGGACTTAATTTGTCTTGGTTACAATAATACATAAATATTTGATCTGAATACTAATTTTATGTAATTTTAATGAGGAATGTTTAATGTCCTTATAAAGATGAAACCTCAAATTACATTTGAATATTGAGATTTTCCTGCTAAAAAGAAAGAAAACTTTGCTACCTCACTGGGAAAATCTGAAAATTTTAAGGTGTTTTTCCTCAAAATCAGTTTTTTTTATTGCTACAGCTCAAAAAAGTGCTTCAAAATTTTGTTTTATGATTATATTTCAGACAGTTCATTCAAATGATACATTGATAAGGCTTTTATTCATTATATTTTGATAAAATGCAATTTTTGTTAACATTTGAGTCAAAACACTATTTGCCTATTTCTCCATCTACCACTTTTGGACTTAATCCTCATTTCGATGTGATGGGTCACATTTTTGTTGCTCTGTTCTGCCTGAGTGGTCAGATTTGTTTGTTTGAACACACTGGTAACATCGTGACAACCACCTTTGCATCCTCGTCGCTCTTTTAAAGAGATAGGCGCACATCGCTTTGCCTCTCGGTTCTCCCTCTCTTGGATTTTTATTTTATTTTTCCCTCCAAAACAGAGCTTCAGTCTGCTCCCCGTGTGCAGTGATGTGAGGCTCAGCTGGACGTCAGGCTCCTTTTCTCTCATTCAGGGGTTTATGTAACAGTGGTTCTGGAAGATGCATGTCCGTGCGGTGCAGAGTTCTGAGGCGCAGCACTCGCACAGACTCTGAGGCGCGCGCACACGGAGCTTCTGCAGCCATCTGCCTGCCTCGGCGATGCTGAGCGCCACTTCCAACGATGCAGTTCTGCAGGAAGGTGCTCTGCCAGCCGTGTAGCGCCAGGGTTACTTCACCAGAGGAGGATATGGAATACAAGATGGGGAGCTGCATCGGAATCTCACGCAAACAGGTAAAACTGAGAGATGCTTTGGGTGGAGGCTTGTGTGCACTGTTGCTTCAGCTGGTCAGGATAGAGCCTTTTCCTCATGGAGAGGAGAGAAAAAAGAAAAAAGCATGTTCTTGTGATGGAGGAGGGGCAATACTGGCAGTGAAAAGGAGTTGTAGTGACAGGAAAGGAGGTGAGGATGGGAGGAGCTGAGGGTGATGCTTAAAGTGGAGAAACCCTGCAGAGTTTCTGTGATTAATGTGTTCTCTGAGGTGATAAATCTGGTAACAGCTGATCAAATCGTTGCTATTTAYAGGGATGATGCTCAGTCTGCTGCAGGCGTCTGCTGGCCTTTAAAGATGGCAGATGATAGACTCAAATCAGGCCCAAACTGTTTTACTTTCATGTTCGTCTGCAGGTTTATTGTGAATCTGTCCTTATGTTTTCACATCATAGTAAAATATTAAAGGTATTCCTGCAAATTATAACTTTGCATTGAGCACTGTGTAATCTGAAAACACCTGAATACTACGGTCCCTCAGGTCTGACACCTCCTGTTTGTGTTTGTTTACACCCAGTGCCTTCCCTCCACAGACATGGCTTCCCCAGCTCCAGTTTGCTCCCYTCCCCTCACCCCCTCTTCCTCCCTCCCTCCTCACGGTCTTGTCCCCACGTCTCATCCTGTCCCGCGTCCAGAACTAAAATAGGATCAGAGAAGCCAGGGGTGGCTCCTCAGGAGACAGGACAGAAACCGTGGTCTGACGGACGGTAAACACGTTGAAGTGGTTTGTGAAAAGTTCAGGGAGTGAGAAATAGTCTGAATGTGGATTTGCAGGGGTAAGTAGTTTATTTGTACGTTTTTGTTGTATTTCAGGTATTTTTTTATTAGAAGTAAAGCCAGAAAATGAAAGGAAAAGTAGAATAATTTGTTTTTGTTTGCACTTTTTGACCAACTTGTGTATTATAATTTCTATTAAGACTGAGCACTGATTTTCAACATGTGAACCAAGTCAAGTAGTACTGTTGTAGTAATACAACATCTACTAGAAATCCTATTAAAAACCAATCAGTAAAGTTTGAAGGTTTGTTTCTATGCCTGGCTGTTTTTGTCGACTGAGGTCACCAGTAACTCACGCTCAAACTGGAGACATTTAGGGACCCGTCCAAATCCAAGAGCCTAGAAGATGGCTCATGTTAAGTGATGGACGGCCAGCGATGAGGTGAGAACTGACCTGGCATTTGTTTAATCGTATRACTTCCCATCGCTGCTTCCTGCGCTGCCAAAGTGCTGCTGTCAGTTGAAGTGAACAGGGGCTGAAATTACACCCCCATTCACACAAATAGCAAACAAACAGGAGGGCAGATGAGCTGCTGCRCTGGATAAACGAGAATTGGGAATTTTGTTTCGTTTCTGTTGGAAACAGGTTTCAGTTGACTTTAAACACAAAATACCTAATAAATTCAGTGAAATGTATGTATTTGAAAAGGGACATTGAAAATGTTGCAAAAACTGGACAGAATATCAATCATGACAGAATGCTAATTTCTGGGCTACCTGTCCCTCGGCATCTTTTAGGGTATTTGTTCCCAAAGTTGGGGTCGGGACCCCTCTGTGGGTCATAAAACATTGACTGAGTGATTCTAGAATTGCGCCTGAGATCTTCTTTTTAACCTTTTTTAATTCTTCTTTTTCTGGATTWAAAAAAAAACKTGTTTTTTGATGATCATTCCCTCTGCTGTTAGATGCTGCACAGCTGAAAGAATTTTTGCTAACACCTATTTTGTTTTTGGACATTTGTTATGATGCGTAACCATAGCAAAATGGTGGTTTGTTATAATCGGTAGCAGCTGATTAACAGCTGAAAAAAATACCTCAKCTACAACCCGAATCCCACGAGTTGAAAAGGAGGCACCATGGATGCAGAGCAGGAGYAAAGTGGAGACAGAGAAGGAGGAAGTTCAAACCATCTCTTCCATCAATCATGATGGGCAATGGGAGATTGTAGGGGAACAATGTTGGTGAACTCCAAGCCCAACACTGAGCACCCTCCTCATCAGACTGTCATATTACAACACAGTGTCTTCATTCAAGGCTTCTTCAGATCCACTKTAAGATGGGTCGCTACATGAGATCCTTCCTGCCCACATCCGTCAGTATCTATAACAACTCCTTAATGAAACTAATATAAGTTACAACAACATTTAATCTCCCTTTGGGATTAATACAGTATTATTGAATTGAATTGAATTTCCAGACATCAATTTAAATACAAATAAATTACTAATGGAGTCAAAAAGAAAAAAATAAGTAGGTCCTCTGGATGGCTTCTTCTTTAGTGAAACGTTTTGTCTCTCCACCAAGAGACTTCTTCAGTCTGATGAGATCCAGTTCTCTGGCAAAAACAGAGTAATATAGTATATGCTGTTAGGTGTCAGGAGGACTGTGATCAGTCATACTTTGGGGAAACAAAACAGCCACTGTTCAAAAGAATGAGCCAGCACAGACGAGCTACGTCTTCAGGTCAGGACTCGGCAGTTTACACTCATCTACAGGCCAGCGGTCACTCTTTCAGGGATGAAGATGTTCTCATCTTTGATAGAGAGGAACGTTGGTTTGAGAGAGGAGTAAAGGAAGCCATCTTTGTGAAGAAAAAACCATCCACCATTAAACAGAGGTGGAGGCCTTCGTGTCCAGTTGTCCTCCTCCTACAACGCTGTTATTGCAAGTATGACTCAGCTCCATGTGAGCAAAAGGTGTGAATCAGGGCCCCAATGATACCAACACAAAGAGGGAGGGAGGAACAAAAACAAGGGGACGTTGAACCCCCACTTGCATTCACTACATACACATAACACGACTTGGGTCAGATGATGGGGCACATGACCCTCTATGAACTATAGAGCCAATCAAGCCTATTGTTAGTCGATGACCCTCTTTTGCATGTGACTAACCTGTTTGTCCATGTGGAGGCAGGGCTAATAAGGCTGAGTTCACCTGAAACTCATCAGACTGATGAAGTCTCTTGGATGCGAGACGAAACATTTCACTAAAGAACCCATCCAGAGGACCTACTTGTTTTTCTTTTTGATTTTTTTCTACCTGGATTACTGAGATGCATCAGGATACTAATGGAGTATTTTCACTAAAATTATTTTTTAAAAAATCATGTAATATCTGGGGACACAAGTTTCTGCAGCTGTTATTTTGTGGTCCGGAAGCTAAAAAAGTTTGAAATTCACTGCTTTAGGGGGTGTTGGTGCACCCTCTTCTCCCCTACTTCCCACAGCCTTGCTCATATATTGTAAAATAAATGTGTTGAAGAAAAGACATCATGTACACAACCTGGATATCTGTTTTTGGAAGCGTGCGTGACAAAACGTGCACACAGCTGGACCTAAAACAAGTGAATACGACAGTGCTATTTATAAAGCCTTGAACATTCAGGTCAGTGCTTTCTGACTGAACGGGCAGGRCCTGACGTCACAAGAAATGTACAAACAACCATAATGACTCACATGCAAGAAATGTTTATTTTCTTCCATCTTGTTCCACAATTTTTGTGCTGTTTGAACAATTTATATATGAAAACATTCAAATCTTTCAGGACTTTCTGGGTTTGACTTTCAGTATTTCAACAATTTATACTTTTTCAGCCTCTTTCTTGTTGAAAATGAATGAAGCCGAAAACTCTTCAAAATGTTTATGAATCTTTATTTTACATTTTGTTCAGGTTCTACTTTTTTTGTACCTTTTTGCTAATTGCAACTTACTTCGGCTACTTAAAAATTTTCTTTTGTTCCTTTTCACTTTCTTTCTGCCCCTTTCACCTATATTTTTGTTCATTTTACTTTTTGTCTTTGAAGCTTTTGTTTTCACATTTTGGGTTTTTCAGCAAATTTCTGCAATCATTCAGCTAAGTTCGGGTTCCACCCCAACTGTTAAAATCCAGCTTTGTCAGCAGCTTTCAGCTAAATTTTCAAACTGTAGTGAGTGATCATAACGTCTGATTTAATATTTTGAAATTATGTCATCAGACTGACAAAAAATAAAGTTATGTGCATATTCTGTTTTTTAACAGACTAAAATGAAAAAAATTAAAACAAATAAAATAAGAACAAAATAACAAATTGCAGCAGAAAAAAACCCACTTCTAAATATTTTTTATTATGAAACTAAATCTTTTTTTTTTTTTTTTGGATGGCCTCCCTTCTCCCCTTATAGCCATCCCCTCCACACCATTATGTTTTTTTATTTTGTTTTTTGTTTTTTGTTTTTTTTGTGAAGAGAAAGTAGAGAGAGAGAAAAACAGAGAGAGAAGTAATTAGAAAGATAGAAAGACTGAAACTAAATCTACTGTTTTTTTCTCTTGACCTCCAAATGATTCAGCAGATTAAAAATAGAATTAGAACAAAGCTTGTGTACAAACAAGAGGTCTCACTCTGACATAAACTGTAGGTGTTTCTCTTCCGGTTAAAACCTATTTATTCTTAATTCAGTGAAGTTACTTACAGTAGTTGGAGTATTTCAAAGTAAGAGTAGCAATATTTCATGATAATATTAACTAAGTAAAGTAAAAATTATGTTGTAGTAAAACTATTCCTAAAGTTTTTTTTTTTCAAAAAAGTTACTTAAGTTAACCCACCTTTAGTATTTTATAATAACTGCATAATAGTACATCCATCAGTGCTTTTTAAGATCCTGCTGCACTTTGACCCTGAAAGCATGTCTTGCTTCAGGGGTTTTTAATCCCTTCAGCAGCACACACAATCTTACCATTCTCTCCCTTCACGCTGGTTCCAGCCTCACACAAAAGGCCCCCCTAATCCTGCAGAGCAGCGACCTGTGACTTTAGAAGGACTGCTCGCTCTGTTTTCTCATTAGCCAGTAGAATAGCTGTACGCTCACGCTCTTTTTGTTGCCAGTGTCTTTCAGCCGGCTGATGTGAGAGGCTGATGGTCTGGGCAGTTGTGGCCCTGCACCTGGCTGAGCCATGGGGAACGAGAGCAGCACGACTGAGGCTTTG